GCCGGGCTGCCCTGCGCCCCGCAGGCCGGAGAGGGCGGGAAGTGGCCCCGTGTGGGCACTGCCGGACACGGCTCCCGGACAGCCGCGTGGGAGGCCTGGAGGGGCGGGGGAGGGGTGGGCACTGACCCCCAGACAGCCCGGCCGGGCTGCCCTGCGCCCCGCAGGCCGGAGAGGGCGGGAAGTGGCCCCTTGTGGGCACTGCCGGACACGGCTCCTGGACAGCCGCGTGGGAGGCCTGGAGGGGCGGGGGAGGGGTGGGCACCGACCCAGACAGCTGGGCGGGGCGGCGCACACAGAGCAGGTGCGGGACGTCGTGCGGGTGGACTCGGGCAGCCCTGCCCGCCGGCCGCCGGGGCCACTCGGTGGGAACTGCCCGGCTCCCCGGGCTCCCACCCTGAGGAATAAAAAGCGCTTTGTTAGCTGTGAGTGAGAAGCCGATAAAGCGGAATATTATCGCCTCATCTGCGATTAGCAGGCAGCTGGGCACTGGGACCTGGTAACATTTACGAGTAAATATCATTTACTTCTGCGCCCTGATTATGAAGGTCACGGTGGTTTAACCCGCCAGGGGGCCTCTGACGCGTTATCTGCCCAAATAGAGCTGGGAAAGAAAACACCGGTGTCATTAAAAGCAAATTACTTTGTTTCTCGAAGATAGCGACTCCTGGCCTGGGGTCAGGCGTGGGGACCCTCCAGCCCTGTGGGCGGGCCGAGGCCTGGTGCCGCCCCCCGCCCTGGGGGAGTGAGCGCCCGCTCCAGCACTCAGCACCGGAGCTCAGCGGAGCCCGCACCCGGCCCTCCTGCTCGGCCAGCAGCGGCCTGCCGGTGGCCTGGGGCTCCCGGACGCGGGTGGCCTGCAGCTGAGCTGCCCCACCTGCAGGGCTCGCTGCGCCGTGGCGGCCCGTGGGCCGCTCTGTGGGCGCTCTGTGGGCCGGGCAGCGGACGCACCCCCCGGATGTGGGCCGGCCAGTGAGGGGTGGGGCTTGTGGGGAGACATGGCCCGGGCTGGGAGGGCGCACAGGCAGCCGGGTCCAGGAGAGAAGACAAACCTGCAGTGGACCCCGGCCCCGAGCCTGTGTCTGGGGGTCCTGGAGCCCGGTGAGGACCAGGGAGCTGACAGCGTCCGGCTGGGAGGCCCCTTTGCTGAGGGGAGGAGGCCGTGGGGGCTCTGAGCGCCGCCCCTGGGCACAGCCGTCTTCTGGTGCGGCCAGGCCCCTTCGCTACAGGCCACTGGGCCGGGTGGCCAGGGCCGCTGAGCGTCCGCAGAGCAAGTGTCCCATGCATAGACAGGGGGTCCCCTCTCTGGCCTCACCATCCGGCTTTGCAGGACGGGGAGTGACCGGCCTCACGCAGGGTCGGGGCCCAAGCTGGGTGGGAGACAGGCCAGGCGCACCACCGGCCAGCAGTCAGCGGCTGGCCCCTGGCGCGAGACTTCCCGAGCCCGCTTGTGTGCACCCGGCAGGGCCGCGGCTCCGTCCAGCATGGAAACAGCCGAGTGCTCCCGGTAAGCGGACGCCGGATGAGGCCCCGGCGGTTCCAGCCAAGACAGAGCGGTGACTCCTCCCTGGCGGAGAGCTGGGGCTGCGGGCGCCTGGCGGGAGGCAGCCGGGGCGCAGTGGCCGGCGCAGGGCTGGGCCCCCCTCGGG